TGCCCACCTGCAGGCTAATGTAAGTGTTCTGAACATGTTTAAGGTAGGCCAAGAGATGCTTCCATCTTACAATTTTTCAGCATATGGCAGGTTTATCAGGACGTACCCCCATCGTAAGTCAAAAGGCAGCTTTAGTTTGTGATCTGGCATAAGCATTTTAGAACTCACCCTACTTGTATTTTCTGTGTTTCATTTTCTACTAGGCCTTGTACCGTCACCTTTTCCAGGCAGAAGCACCTTGTTTCTTCATCAGAGGCAGAGAAAAAAGGGTTTAAAGAAAGAGGAGATTATAAATGAGGAATGCTTTTAAAACTCAGAAATGGTCTGCAAAGTGAATATTCCATCATTTTACGAAAACATGAATCTTAACTTTACATTTATCAGAGCATGTTCATGTCAGGTTCTAAACCAACCCACCTCTGAACATTTAATTAGTTCACCCTTAATTCATGCTGATTAAATATTCTACGTTTTATTGCTCTGACATATTCTCTAGTGGCATTTTCCCGTCTTCTCTCAAAAACACCATATGTAAAACCCACTTGAGGTTAAATAAATTCAGTAAAAATTGTTTTCTTGCTCTAGAAACTCAAGAGTACAGAACTCCCTCTCTGAGAAATAGGAAATCTTCCTTTAGATAAGTTCCCAGAGCTGGCCCAGTAATAACAGCATCAAGACAGAATTTTCAATAATAGATTGTACATGTTTAAAAACAAGTCATTCAGTTGCCTAGATAATAACAGTTGGACTTTTCCTTTACTTTGGATAAATTTGATATATGTGCATATGAAGTACTTTTTATTTAAAGAATAAGTTGTCCTTATACATACGTAGTCAGAAAACATTATAGTTTGGACTTAGCACTCATTGATAAGGAATTTCAGTCTGCCATTTATGCAACTTAGCTACATTCTCCAAGTAATCTCAGTACAGCATTGCTAAGAGACAAAGCTTCTCTTTTAAAATCTCAGGTCTTTCATTGTGCTCTCTGAGTCACATTAGTCACTGTTTCCTTCTTGGTGCAGTAACCAGAAATGATTATCTTTCTACCAGGAGAATGTTGGAGAAACAACTATTACTGATAATTATGAAAACAGAAAGCAACAGATATTAATACTTGTACTGTACAGCATGTACTCTGTTAATGAACAGGAAAATGGGAGGCCTTGGGTCACTTAAAATTTCAAGTAAGTAGTCTTGGCTTTACATTAACAAGTTGTTCATTGGGAATATTCTATTGAACTGATCAGGAATGCTAAGGCAAATGCAGCAGATGAACCCCCCACCCCACCCGAAATAGCAATAAAAGGAATATGTGCAAAAGAAATTAGAATATTTCAATCCTATAAGCATATTTGTAAAGAATTAAATGGCGTAGGGCTACATATAGAAAGTATACACATGCATATGCTATATATGTTTCATGTATAATTTGTACCTTTTGTAGTTTTGAAGAGCAGAGAGGAGCCACTTACTTATGAGTTCTCATAGTATTTAATCCAGTGACTTAGTGTTTTAGATACTCAGTGAATAATTTTTAATAGGGAATTGGTAAGTTCAATGATGAGGAATCAGTAAAACTTGTTATATTTATTTCAAATATTCAACAGCTATTTATTTAAAAGACTGTGTTAACATGGAAAGCTGTTTATGACATAGTAAGTTAAATATGAATATACAGTGATGTTACAACGATAGAAAAAAATCTTTGAATGAAATAAGACAGAACATAACTATAGGAAAATGCTAAAATGAGACTTTAGAAGTATTCTTACGTCTCTTTTCTACTTTCTATTTTTACTTTAATAAACATGTTTCTTAATCATATAACTTGGTATAATTGTGGAACTACCAAAACATTTTTTAGGAGTTGATGTATTGCTTTGTGACAGCTCTTATATCTCTGACATAATAGGCCATACTGCTATCCAACTGGTAGAGCCTGCAAGCAGGAAGACTAATTCGAAGATAACTTATGATAGTTTAGGTATTAGCCAAGAAAACGTTTAGCTACACATAACAGAAAACCAATTGGGGTTTTTCAGACATAACACTAAGTTCAGATGTAGCCAGTCTAGGAATGCTACAGCAGCTTCAAGATTTCAAGAATGACCCAGAGTCCTTCTTTCTTTCTACTCCAGCATCCCTAGCTTGCAGATCCCATCATTGTATCTTCTACATCATGTTCACCTTCTTTTTTGTCATGAGGCTCAATCTCTATCCTCATGTTAGTATTCTAGGAAAAGGAAAAAAAAAGGAAGAAATGGAAGATGGTTCTCTATATTAGAAAAATAAATGTTTTCCTAGAATTCTTCACCATATGTCTAGAACTATATCCCACGTCACTCATAACTGTACGGGATCTAAAGAAATTATTTTTTTAGCTAGCTCATGCCACCCCTCTTAACCTCCCTGACAAAAGTATCAGGGTATTTCTAATACATAGGGGCAACAAGCATTGTCTGCTCCTTTTCATATAAGGAATACACTCATCTTCTCCCTAAGAGAAATAATCCCAAAGTCTCATCCAGTTACTGCAATGAACTCAAGTCTAGAATCCAGAAGTTCTGATGATGTGGAGTGTGGATCTTCATGTTCTGGCAACTGATATTTAAGGAAAAGTTATCTGCCTCAATACTCCTAATAAGTAATAATATATAGACAAGGTACACAATGTTGGTAAAACTCCTATTCAGGAAAGGGGAAAATAGGAAACACAGTAGTCTCTAGTCCATAGAAATCTCAAATCCTATTGGATAATTATAACAAGGAATCCATACCCTTGGTCAGTTAATCTGTCAGTTTCTCTATTCTGTAGGAATATCCTTCTATTCCATTGACTTCCAGGGGTAACATCTGAGGTGGACATTGTGGAGGATACATTTTTGGAGTGTTAAAACTTTAGCAGTTTGAAGAGACTAAATCCAAGAGTGGTGAGTGAATCCAGAGTCTGGTGCCCTTTTACCTTCTGAGGCAATTGACATTCTGACAATAGTACAGAGGTTGCAAAGTTCTCAAGGGGAGTAAGTGAGGACTGGGGGAAACTTGTGAGTTGAGGACCCAAGAAAGAAAGATTTTACTTTGGAATTCCAAAGAGCTACACCCTGGAAGTAACTTTTAATTAACCCCTGATTGGATTATGTTGATTTGTCCTTAATCAAAATGGCCCCCATGAACCGCACCTCCCAACATTCATGGCCTTGTGCCATAAAATCTGCTGTTGGTTGTGTGACTTGCATCTAGGGGAAAATCAGGGAATCTAGCCAATTGCCAGAACAGAGGCCCAAGACATGGGACCCTAGTTGAGCTGAGCCCCACTCCCCTGAACCACCCCAAGTGAGGCCCAAGACCTCATGGAGCAAATGTGAATCATGCACTATGGCCTGACTAAATTCTTGAGCCAGAGAATCTGGAATCTTGAGCAACTGGGAGTTGTAAGTCATTAAGTTTTGAGGTGGTTGAAACATAGCAATAAATAACTGAATCACTAGTAAAGGATAAAAAAATGTATACCAAATTATCTAATTGTTGGGGAAAATACAATTTAAAATACTTAATCCAAAGGAAAGCATGAAAAGACAGAAAACGGAACAGGTAAGATAAATAAAAGCAAACAGTAAAATCCATTTAAACTCAGGTACTTGCTTCTAGGCAATTCCATGTAGATTGCGTAGGCATAGACGAAGATCTTGTCTCAATACAGTTTTTAAGCTTGAAAATTCTCATCTTTTCTTGTGTCCGTATCCTGTCCATATCATTTTCACCTCAGTTTAATAGCCCTGCCTTGATGCAATTTGAAATGTCTGTGGGGAGATACTGCATTTAATCTATTCTTTGCTGAATAGATTTAGAATTTAGTTGTCACCAGTCTGGTTTAGAAGAGTTGAAGAAACTCTTGGAACCATGTGTCTATTATTACCACCTCCCAGCTCCTATTCTGATAGAATTCCATGTCTGATAAGGTAATAGTTGACTTTTCAACCTAGAAAGTCTCCAAATTATGGAATTGTCAGGTTATATTTCAGGCCACAGGCAGAAAGCATCTCTCTGCAAGCTGTATTTTGTTCTCTCTGTCTGCCAGCTCTTGAGAATAAAGCCATACTTAACTTTCTTTTATTTTGATCAGGTCCTCCCCACCTCCCCCGCCCAAAGATAGTGATTATTTGAATTTCACGTTTTCTTCCTCCACCCCTAAAAAGCTATTCAATATATGGAGTACCCTAAAAGCATTTTACAATCCAGGAAATACAGCAAATTCTCATGGGCCGTGTATTTTAGAGGTGAGTATGTGGTGTTCTGCGCGCCTCATGGTGGGCGTCCGGACTGATCAGGGCTGTAGCCTAAGCCTTGCACACGCCGGCCACGCAATAGGCGCTCAAGTAATGGGTCGACGAATCATTAATGTGTCTGTGGGCTTTAAAACATATCTATAAGCGCTTTTGCTGTCAAAAACCCAAAGATAGGTTTCCCCTGAAAGAGAGATGCCTGCGATCCCCTTGGGCAGACGACCAAACCCCGGTGCGCTGCCGGGTCGGCCCGTTCTATACGGGGCGGGCGACCCCGTCTGGCCACAGTGGTGATAACAGCTGTTTGCCTCCTCTTGGGGATCGGCAGCGTCAGGAGCTGGAGGCGTCTTGCGAGGAGGCAAATAAACAAAGCCAACCGCACAGAAATGGGTCGTTCCGTTTCACATCCTCTTTCGGGTGCCTGGGTTTTCTCGGAACAAAGTGACCCTCCATCTACCCGCAGGCAGGTGGAGCCCGCCCCACGGGAAGAGCAACTCTTTTCCTCCCAGCCGCGCGCTCCCTGAGGCGCGTAGACAAGGACTCGCCTGGCACGAGCCGGCCCACGAAAGGACACGCCCCTCGCGGGACCGCGCATCCGCCGCGCGCCCCTCGCGAGCGCGCACGCGGGGCGGGTCTCCTTCCCGCACCCAGTGAGCGCCCGGCCCCCTCACCCCACCCCACACCCTGCCGCCCAGGCTCCACCTCCGCGGCCGGGCTGTGGAGCGCAAGCGACCGGAAGCCACTTTAAAGCGGAGCTCGAGGTGACAGGCGAACGATCTGGATCGAGAGTGCAGTCGCGGCTTTCTGCGCTCGCAGCGGCGGAATGGCCCGTGTGCCGTTCCCCGCGTCTCCAGCCTGCGACCCCTAGAAACCCAAGCCTGCCCTCCGCGCCGACCCCCGTGCGGACGCTGCGCGCGTACCGGCAGCGCCGCAGCTCAGCTCCTGTGGTCGGTTCTCTCAGGCTGCCTGTTCAGGTAAAGGGCTCCGGGTGAGCTCTGAGGAGCCGGTAAGGGACCCTGGCGGGGATGGCGGGCGGGGAGGGGGACGCCGGCCTCGCCGCGACTCTCACGGATCTAGATTGATACTTAAGATTGTGTGTTTTTTTTTGTACCGAGTTCTCTCGGATCCCTTCAGCGTCGGGATGGAATTGGTTTAGACTTCTTAGGCACTTAGGGCCTCTGGCAGGTGTATAAATCGGAGTAAGACAGTGAAGGGTTTAGTCGGGGTCGCCGGCGTCAGCCCATTCCCCCAGATCAGAGCGGACGCAGGGGAGCGTCTGTGCGGCCTCCTCCGCTGCCCCACGGGAGCACTTAGCAGATCCAGGGGGAGGCACGGTAGCTAGGAGAGCCTTCCGGCCGCTCCGCGTTCCGGCTGCAGCCCAGAAGTTTGCAGGCTGTTTTCAGATGAACTTTCAATGTGCAGAAGTCTTCGCCTTCCTTCCCGAGTAGCGCCGGCCGCATTTCTCCGGCGCTTTGCGGAGCTGTTTTGCGATCCTCCGAGACTCGCAGAACGATCTCCTCAGGAAGGTTGGTTGAGGAGGTGAAGATTGTGGAAGGCGCCGTGTGAGGCTTCTGGGATGGAGGAAGCCGGGGCGGGAGGCGCTCATTGGGACGAGGCTGGACCGAGGGCTTGGGGAGCGCCGCGGCGCCAGCCGAAGGAAGGCGGCTGGGCGAGATGCTCGGAACTCCCGGACCGAACTGGCCGAGCCTGGCGGCACCTCAAGCCGCGCAGCGCCGAGTTGGCGCTGCCTGGGGTGCAAAGCTCCCCGGGCCTCGGGAGGCGTCGCTCGGACCGGGGCTCCGCGCCCGGGTGTCGGGCGGCGGCGGGCCTTTAAAGAATCCTGAGTTTGGAGCCGGAGGTTTCCAGGGACCGTGCTCTCAGCTGGGAGTGAGGGGTAGAGCGTTAGGTAGGTCGACTGCTGCGGTGACCCCAGGAAGTAGCCTTCCAGCCTTTAGTTTTTGTTATGCAAACTAATTGAGGAACTAGATTCTGTTCACTTCCCCACTCCAAGCACTCCTCCAGTTTTCTGCCTCTTCCTCAGTTTTATTTCCGACGGTGATAGAGGGCCATAATGGGAAAAGTTGTAGTGTGTGTGTTGATAAGATTGGTTCAGGGTCTGTTTAGCTTTGATGGGGTGTGATAGGAATGGTTAGTGTGTGTACGTGCGTGGAGGATGGCACAGGCCGGTTTGGTGTGGAGAGGGAATACCACAATCTGTGCCAATTGTGCCTTGAGGCAAGAGCACTGAATTATGAATAATAACGCCTGGCTTGGCCGCTTTCCAGTTGATTTATGTCTTCTGTCAAGTCCCTCCTTCGTGAAGCTTTCCCTAACAATGGCAGCTCACACTGAACTCTTTTTTTTCCCCCCTCTACCTTTTCCTTTTGTACTTATCATGGAGGCTAATACCTTGTGGTTTTGTTTTTTTATTTTTCTGGGTTTGATCATTATGCAGTTTTCACGCACTGACTCACATATCTCTCTAATTACATTTTCAATACTCGTTTTTCTGGGCATTCAGTTTTATTATTTTGTTGTTACTGTTGACCCATAAAAAGTAATACCACGAGGCACTTAATACGTTCTTTATCTTCAGTAATTCAGCCAAAAATATCATGAGGTATTCAGTGTTTGCATTGTGCTAGACACTGTAATGGGCACCTGGAATGCATACTTGTTGAAGTCCTGGTCCCTTGAGTCAAATATCCTTTTCACTATATTGGGCAAGAGAGAAGAGGATTAATTGCTCATCACCAGTCTCACCTGGCACAATGATCAGTAAATATTTTCAGAATTAGTTGAGTGCTAGATTATGAAGGAGACACCATTTGTCACTTTACAGTTTCCTTAGCTTTATACTTTGTTCACCTTTTGTCATTTTACAAAATTTTGTTTGCTTTATACTTTATTCCTTTTTTTTCCTAAGTGGTCTGATTCATTGAAGAAAGCACTTTTATTCTCATGCAGTAGGTCATAAGGAATCTGAAATGTGGTTTGTGTTTTATATTCTTGTGTTATTTTCTACAATATGCCTTTATTTGCCTTTAAAAATGCATGTATAACTTTTTTGAGGACAGGGACAGGGAGGCTCTTTATTATGAAGTTGTGTTTGGTTTCTAAAACAATGTGTGCTGTGATTGTTGCTGATGTAGCTTCTGTTGCTAAACAAGTCCTGGAATTCCTTCCCCAGTTGTGGTAACGTTTTGGGGATTGCAGAGGTAGACTCTTAACATCTTTGGGGAATATATTGGTACTTTCTGAATACAGGTCATCATAAATGTCATTTTCATGTATGAACTTAACTCTTGTTTTTAACAATTAGCCTATGGTAAAATTGGTTTGGTTATAGTTGTTTGCCTTAAAGTCACAAATGACCTTAAGTAAGGACTTAACTGAATAGAAATGCTTCAATAAGCTTTTGGCTTTCTCCCATATAACATTTTAATTGAGAGCCCCTGTTTCCTGAGTCCTCACATCCCAAATTCACTCAGTTTAATTTAGAAGTTCACCCTTCTTTTGATGAACATTTTTTTACAAAGAAACAATTTTTGTCACCTCATGAAAAAAGTGATACATAAACAACTGTGAAGAAAACCACAAAGCAGTGAAGATGTGGTTTCCCTGCAGTCATCGTTAGACGAACTTTTTTCAACCCCTCACCCCCGCTCCACCCTAGACTTAGAATACAAATTCATACCCCAGCAGAAGTACAAATTGTTGTGTATTAAGTCTGCGAATTAATTTCAAGAGCCTATTGGAAAATACTGTCTCTATTTTACCTTTACCTGCTGCAGACTTTTGAATAGCCTTGGCTGCTTTGGAGCCTTGATATCTCAATAAAATTTAAAATTGACCCATAAAGATGAAATATAATGTAACAGGAGTGATTTCAGGGACTTAGTCACAGAATAAAATAAAACATTTTGATGAATGAATGGTGTCCAGTTGTTGTCAGCTTGTAAGTGATGATCTTCTTTCCTTTCCTGGTAGGATTTTTTAGACTCTGAGGAGCAGTTGGAGCTAATCCACATTATGGAAATGGAAACCACCGAACCTGAGCCAGACTGTGTAGTGCAGCCTCCTTCTCCTCCTGATGACTTTTCATGCCCAGTAAGACTCTCTGACAAGATCAGTCCATTGAAGACTTGTTTTAAGAAAAAGGATCAGAAGAGATTGGGAACTGGAACCCTGAGGTCTTTGAGGCCAATATTAAACACTTTGTTAGAATCTGGATCACTGGGTGGGGTTTTTAGATCTAGAAACCAGAATGCAGATGAGAGCAGCTTACATGAACCTATGGTGAAAAAGACCCTGGAAATCAATCCATCGTGTTCGCCAGCAGAAAATAATATGTCTGTCCTGATTCCTGAGGGAACAAGTGTCGGGGACCAAATACCAGAAGCTCGTCCTTCCACTGATGCTCCAGAACAAGTGGTTCCAATTCAGGATCACAGCTTCCCACCAGAAACCATCAGTGCGACAGTGGCAGATTCTACAGGAGGGCACTTCCAGACTGCCCTTTTACACCCAGTTTCAAGTGATGTTCCTATTAGTCCTGACTGCATAGACAAAGTCATGGATTATGTTCCAGGGGTTTTCCAAGACAACAGCTATACAATCCAGTACATTTTGGACACCAGTGATAAGTTGAGTACTGAGCTCTTTCAGGACAAAAGTGAGGAGGCTTCCCTTGACCTTGTATTTGAGCTGGTGAACCAGTTACAGTACCACACTCACCAAGAGAATGAAATTGAAATTTGCATGGACTTTTTGCAAGGCATATGTATTTATGGCAGGGATTGTTTGAAGCACCACACTGTCTTGCCCTACCATTGGCAGATCAAGAGGACAACTACCCAAAAGTGGCAGAGTGTATCCAATGATTCCCAGGAGCACTTGGAAAGATTTTACTGTAATCCAGAGAACGATAGGATGAGAATGAAGTACGGGTATGTACTTATAACTTCTTTTAAAGTTGTTGAATACCACAGAGACGGTAAAGAGGTTAGAAACTTAGTAGGCTGGTTTCTTTTAGCAGTAACCTTAATGGCTTTTATTCTTTTTTCCTCCGCTCTTCTTCTGGCTGTATGCTATATTGATTTTTAATGGTGGTTCAATGCAAGCTATTTACCTATGCAGACAAGGAAGTTTTTATGATTTGAAAAATTCAAATGTCACTGTGTGCAATATGTATATGACTGAAGTTACATATACATTGACTGTGGTAAATCAAACACAATTTTAATCACACAGGAGAACTTGATTTTGAAAGAAAATCCATAGTGAATCTTACAAATAATGAACACCTAATATATCTAATTTTAAAGTTTTGCATATTGAGTAACTTCTACTTTTTAAAGGAAAATAGTATTGTTTGGAGATTTTTGTGGCCCTCTTGATTTTGAATGGTACAACAATCTTCCTGTGAATGATTCAAAAGTTCCTCCCAAACTTTTGAATCATGCCCCAAAATGTTAAATTTTTGTTTTAAGTTTCCTTAAAGCTTTTTACCATTAAGTTTATTATTCTATTTATCTTATAGGTAAAATAAATTGTTCTGCAATTCAGGGTATTTTTTTAAACCTGAGTCTTTCAACAATGAATGAAGGGAAGGTTTATGTTATGTTAATAGGTGTGTTTATCATTTACATAAAAAAGTTATCCTTTTTGGGGGGGGGGGGGTCCAAAACATGTATATAAATAATTCAGTTCTTTCAGTATGGATGTCCAAGCAATATTCACTTCTAGGATAGGGAACTGAAGCTTCCCCATCTGAAGTCTTCATTAATTGAACTTAAAATGAAGAAAATGATAGTTGCCACATATGAAGTTGCTAGTGCAAAAATGGCTATATAATAATGTTAAGCTTTATATTTCTAAGTTTTTTCTCCTATCGTATAGGAAAATGTGTGATGTTAGTAGTTATTTTTGTATGAACAAGAGTAAGTAATAAAATTACTTAGGGAGAGAAGAGCAGTTTAATCCATGTTTCCTAATTTGGGAGATCATAAGGGTATCTTGATTGTTTCACAGATAACACATGGCTTGATGTATATAGTACTGAGAGGCATGATCCATAGGGAGGAAAACTACCCTGAGTATCCTAACCCAGAAGTCCAAGAGAAAAACTCCCTTGAGAGGCATCCTTGTTCACAGATAAGTTGGTTTACTCTCTTCAAGTGGCTGGAGAGTCAACAAATGGTGGCAGTAAACCATTTCCAAGTTGTTCAGTTCTTTTAGTCTTTATGTTCACCCTCTATGTTCTTAACACAGTGCCAAAACATTGTTGGTATTGTGGAAACCTGGTTCCCTCCCTCCCCCGCCTTCCTTTCTTCTCTTGTTCCCATTTAGTATTAGGTAAGTGGTTTCTTTTTAATATTTCAGCACTTAGTTATATAGTACACAGATCTGTGTCTGTAGCAACTCAATGATGAGACTAGAATTTTGTATCTTCTAATGATCAAAGGGACATCTAAAGAGATATATGGAACAATATGAGAAGCAATATAAGGCCCAAGTTTAAAGACATTATTATATAGAAAACTCTTTGGGATAAAAGTAAGATTATATCAAGAATGGAGTTTTCCTGATTGTAAGTGTATTATCTTGATAGTAGAATGCATCCAAGATTCTGTCTTTTTGGGTAGTAAAATTCTTAGATCCTATAATAAAGCTAGTGGTTTTAACTTTTTTTTTTTTTAAGCCAGCAATGGAAGACAACGGTGTTTTACATTCTCTTAAAAATCTTTTTAATAAGGAATTGTCCAAAATCTCTGTTGCCCATGAGCTACCAATTCTAATTGGTCATGGGTAATTAATTTTATATACACTCAAAGCCACTCAAATTCTTCCATCTCTAGATTACAAAACTGCAGAATAGTAGCCTCCCACTTCAGTCCTAAGAAGCACATTTTCTGTCTGTTTGAATTGAGATTATTTTCCAACACATTATGTTCTATTATCATGAGCAAGGCAGACTTGTATTGTGACCGAGAAAATCCAGAAACTCTTAGGTCAGCAGCATATTGGGTATTTTGTCTTTTGGTAAAATTACTTTGCTGAAGACTAGGTATATTGTTGGATCGGTTGTAAAGTAGTTGCAAGGAGTGCTTGATTTCCAAATCAGTTTTATAGAAGTAATGTTTATTTTGACACTTGAGAGGAAGGTATGAGTGAATTATTATTAAAACTATTGCTGCTGATACATTGTTAATGGTAGTAAGTTGTCCTATCCTGACAAAAATAGTAAAATACTAAGTTAATTACTAGTCAAGTGCAGGTTCTCCTTAGAAATGTTATAAAATTGTAGATAGCTAAGTGTCAAAAATTGGGCTTTTGGGAAGTTGACCTGTGGTCATTGCAACCTGGTTTTCCTTGTATTCCAAAGCGATGTTGTGTTTCCTGGCAACAAGATGCAGATAACGGCATGTTGGGCCTTGCTGAGAGATTCACAAACAAGCTGGAGCAGCCCAGGTTCACATGGTTACCACATTATTTGGCTAAAGCTATTAATCTCTGTGGTCAGGCCTGTAAAGCTGGTCTATCTATTCAGATTGCACATAACCAGGAAGTGTGTGTTCAGCTGTGTATATGTCCAAGTCAGACCCAGCAGTCTTTGAATTCAGGAATAATAAATGACAGTTGTTTATCCCACTTATGTTCAGTGTTTTATATACTTGGTAAGTCATAATTACATACAATATCCATAATACTTCATTGTGTGAAACTTGGGGAAACTTCATAGTTCTGGGTCTGCTGTGCAGATAAAATTCTTTGTTTTGCAAATGTAGGAGATTTAACATCTAAATTGATCCAAAATAGATTTGCAGGGTTCATTATTCTCAAGAATGAAATTGGAAAAGAAGTTGAGCTAGGTAAGTTCACAAGTCCCTTCCATTTCTTCAGTCAAGATGCTTAGATACCAAAAACACATTTAAAAAAGAATTTTGGCCGGAGTGGCTTAGTTGGTTGAGTATTGTCCTGAAAGACATAAAGGTGGGGAATCAAACCAGTTGTTGGTTTGATCCCTGGTTGGGCATACATGGGGCATGTACAAGAAGGCAATCAATTGATGTTTCTCTCACCCTACCTCTGAAAAAATGTCCTTGGGTAGGATTTAAAAAAGATTTTTTAAAAAGAATTTCAATAATAATAAATGCTTATTTGGTTCATTATAATGAAATTAGTTTAATAATTTTCTAATTTTGTCTTCATCTCAAATTATGATATAATCCCACTTTTCCACCAGACTCTGCTTTTTGTACATCTGCAGATGTTCATTGCCAACATCAACTGGAAACTAGTTGTATGTATGAACTCCCTGTATTTACATGCCGATGCTGCTTTTTGCACATGGGATGGGCTTTGGAGAATTTCCAAATTCCAAATATGAAGTTAAGAAAACAACATTGAATGTTATGATTTCAATTAAGGAAACATAGTCCCTGACAGTTTAGGCACTCATCCTTATTAGAAAATGATACTAAATGGCAGGTCTAAGGAGTTTTAAAAGAGCGTCACTAAATGTAGAATACTCTTGTGGATAATTGAAATTGTAGAGGATGTGCAGTTCTCCCATTAACAACTAAGATCACCATTGGTTTTCATACTACATCCATATTAAAGTGTGCCAGAAGTCTTATAGTTATTATCAACCATAAAGAAGAGGTACTCTGCAAACCTTAATTTGGAGTTAATCTGTAGGTGAAATATATGACCAGTGATTATTTCTAATTCTGGTTTTTTTGAAAGAGAGTGGGAAGGTGAAGTAGAAAGTTGCAAACTCTGACTCCAGAGGTACTTTTTCTCAGAGAACAGTGCTTTTTTTTCTCTTTTGGAATTAAAGCATAGTGAGAGAAAAGGGAGTTTTACTTGATATGGCTTACGTGTAAGAGTGTTGTCAGAATCTTAGTTTTAGAGTGATTTTGATTGCTAATTGCTCTTAGAACTTTTTTTTTTAATCTGTCCAAAGGATAATACCTTTAGATGACTTCACAGGGACTGTGAAAGAAGACAGGAGAGTTGCATATTGATGATAATAAAGAGCATATGCTGTTCTTTCATGTAACTGCAGAGCGGATTATCAAAAATGGAGCAAGCTCCTGACTGAACTCTACTGGAATAGTTAAATTAGCCAAGTTAGCTCTGGCCTGCACAGCTGTGATGATGTATGAACTAACTCATTATGTGTTATTGATAACACTGGAGAGATGAGAACAGCTGAAACTTACTATGACTTGTGACTTTTTGGTATTTCTTGAGTATACACAGCTGGATGAGTTTGAATTTATTTTTAAAAATTCCTGCCTTAGAGAAAGAGAGTTCCATAAGCAACAACTGTATTTGAAGTGACTTTCAAAATGTGTGCCTTGTGCTTTAGGATAAAGCAATCCAGTGAATTATTTTTTTGTACCTCTTTATAATGCTATTTACATATGAAATAAAACTAATTGGCTTCTTTTTGTACTAATCCAGAGGAGTTACTGGGTCTGTAGCGCTATCATGGGAATCAATAGCAATCATTCGTTTATTTATTTTCTGGTTTTTTATCAATAAGAAGATTAGACTTTTTGAAGCAGCTGTCACCTGGTTTCAGGTTGAGGTCAATCTGTTCCTAATGTATTTATGGTCATGAAAATGAACTTCACGAAAAGCAAAGATATTTGGAGGAAATACTTATAAGGTTATCTGGCAGTCCCTAAAAATACATCATATATTATGCATTTTATTATTGAGTTGACTCTCAAGCTTTTATTTTTTACTGTAAATAAACAGGAAAAAATAATAACGCCATTCAGCCTAAAACTTTATTCTGCATATGTGTACGTGCAAAAAAGGCAACTTGACTAATTCACTCTACTGTATCCTGTAAATCTATTTTCTATTGTTACACTACAATTTCTAGATTCTAGATCTGCATTCTGTCATAAAGGAAAGGTAAATTCATAAA